ACCAAGTCATCCTGGCAAAGAATAAAAGCAGCTGGAACTAGAAATATAAATATTTCTATTAATATAAAATATCATAATATAAAATATAAAATATTTCTAGAAATATAAATATCACTTTGGAAAACAGTTTGGCAGTTTCTCACAAAGCTAAACATGCTACTATTATCACCATGCTATCCATCATTACTACTCCTGGTCATTTATTTAAGAGAAATTAAGATATATTTCCAGAAAAGGACGTGCATGAATGTTCTTAGCAGCTTTATTCACAATAACCAAAAAAATGGAGAGTCCACTTTCTCATCGACAGGAATGAATAAACAAATTGTGGTTTACCTGGAAAATGAAATAGAAATGAACTGCTGATAGACTAGAACAGGGGGAGTTCTCGGAAACACTACGCTTAATGAAAATAGCTAGACACCAGAGAGTACTAGCAGAAATGTTCATTTATACAAAGTTCTGGAACGGGAAAAGCTAATTTCAGTGATAGAAATCGAATAAATCATCTCCTGGGGTGTGGGATATGTGAGGAATTCACTGGAATAAGCAGTAGGAGACATTCTACAACTGATGAGAGTTGGGTACAGGGATAGTCATGTGTGTTAAATTATATACAAAATACAATGACTGCATTTTATGGAAATTATAACCCAGTAAAGGTGATTAAAGCAACAGAAGAATAACAAAAATATAATTTCAGGATAATTATAATATGCTGCTTATATAATGTTTTAAAGCACAAGTAGTACGTGTTTTTATAGATGTACTCCTTATGCAGATATAAAATCATAAAATGGAATGGAAGCATTTATGTTAGAATCGAGGTTTCCCCTGGCATGGGAAGAGCGTAGGTAGGGAGATAGATTGAGATGGAACTGGGGGATCCACAAGGGCTTCCCATACACTTGTAAATTTTTGTTTTAAAATTTGAAATATATCTGGCAACATTGCTAGATATCCAGATTTGCTAACATTAACTAATGAGTAAAAAATATTGATTATATGATTCTTTGTAGTTTTATTTGTGTTTGAAATAGTTAATAATTTTAAAATCATGAGTCAATCTTACATTTTAATATGTCATTAAAATAAATGACATGACGACCGGATGGAGCTAGAAACCATTCCTCTAAGGGAAACACGTGTTCTCAATACCAAGTTGGAGCTAGTCTATCCACATGTTAGTGCACATATGGAGGTAAACTGCAGTGAAAATCAAAGCTGGGGGGGGGGAACTAAGAGATAGGGAATGTATACTGGGTACAGTGCAGTCCCAGTATCGGGGTGAGGGACATCCTTACAACTTTGACTCAGTTTGTACAAAGTATGTGAACAAAACATGTGGACCTCCCAATGTTCTGGGGGGAAATGGGAGGTAAGAAATTTGGTAATTAGAAAAAAAGTCTATGAATTATTTTCACGTATCTATCAAAGTGTCTGGGTCTCCAGCGGGACTGAGCACCAGGTGGAGAGAAACATCTACGTACTTTTGTTAATTACTGCTCCATGCCCAAGCCACTAACAATCGGTGTTCTCAACATTACAAATCAAACTTGACTCCCTGTCAGTAAAACTTGACATGCTCTAAGTTCTTTCCGGAGAATTCATTACGCTCCTGTTCACTTAGCATTTATAACCAGTCAATTTATAACCAGATGATAAATTCACTGACTGGACCCCCTCACTTGAACAGGGAGCTGGTTGCATCGATCGGAGTGTGCCACGTTTCCAAAGCTGATGACAGGGTTAGCAGGAGCTTTATGTATTGATGTTCTTTCTAAAAAATATACTGGAAATTGTAATATGAATTATTGCCATAACAGAGACTATTATAATTTTATTTGCCATGATTAACAGCCTTCTCTATTGAATTCTCACCAGGCGCCAGGTCTAAGGACTTTATAAATATTAATTCATTAATCTCATGACAATTCTGGGAGCAATGACTTGCCCTTTACAGGTAAGTAATCCAAAGCAAAAAGAGGTCAGATAAATTGTCCAAGGTTATGCATGAGGTAAACAAACGCGCTTCAACTTGAACATGGGAAGCCTGGCTTCCCAGCCTGCTGGGTTTGTTACCACATCCCCCTCTACAGGACACAGGACCACCAGACCCATAACAAGACCTCGGCTCTTACCTATCCGGACATGGTACCTCCACGTGAACTCCAAATACTCAAATTCTCAAGACAGAAGCTTCTGGACATTTTCTATCATAGTCTATTTTGTGCGCATTAAATTATTCCCAACACGTGGTTTGTCAGCGGCAGTGGCAGCCTTTATATCCACCCGTCCTGTCCTATTTCCTCCTGTTACTGCCTCTCCAACATGTATTTGGTCTAAACCACAAGGTACCGTTTGCCTGTTTTTCCAACTGTCTTCACTTTGCCGCCAGATGTTGGCTCCTATCTCTCAGCTCTGACCATTCCACTGATCTGTTCAGTAGATCTTGATGGACCATTGAATTAAATTTATATTTTAAAAGTGAATTTTCTGCAGGATTCCTCTTTTTTCCCCCCAGATCTAAATCAAATCAGACTACTCGCTGCTTGGGAAAACCAGTTTTAAGCGTTGTCAGTGCCAGGCTTTGTCTTCCTCAATAACTGTTGGCTTTCTTAGTTCCTTTCTGAAGGCATTTTTGTACATTTTTGTCCATTGGCTTTCTGTATGTATTAGGTTGTTAGCTACTTAACCAAGAAGATTTCTTATAATTTTTCCAAGTAGCATTTTAGCATAAGCTCTTACACAGGAGAGAAACAAATGTGTTAAGTTGGAAGTTTGCCTTAGCAGAAGTAAGATCATGTTGCCTGTGTGACGCCGTATTTTCCTACAGGGGTCCTCAAACTTTTTAAACAGGGGGCCAGTTCACTGTCTCTCAGACCGTTGGAGGGCCGGACTGCAGGCCCCGGGATGAGTCAGCTGCTAAGTAGGACAGGCAGCGGCAGCAAAAACACCCAGCAGGCCAGATAAATGTCCTAGGTGGGCTGCATATGGCCCGCAGGCTGTAGTTTGAGGACGCCTAGAACATCTTTACAGTCAGAGAGTGAACACACATGATTGGATTAAAGTTAAATAAAGGGGAGAGCGAGAGAAACTGGCAGGTAGTAATAGACCGTTTGTTCTTGATGTTCTTGATTATTGACTATCCAGAATGAAACCAAGAACTTGGGAGTGGAGTGTGCAAAAAAGCCTTAAAACAACTGAAGATGACCCAAAGAAATTTTGTCCAATTGAGCAGCTTCGTTGGGGAGACTTGCCATCCTCTCAATTTTGTAAGCCCTTCTTTTCATTTTTAGTTATTATTTCAGATTAATTGAGGATACAGAGAATCAGGGTACACTGTTGCATTTATTAGGGAAAGTCCCTCTTATAATTGTGTCCCGCTCCCAAGAGGTGTGCCAGACACCATAAGGTAGTGCCCCTTAAGTGGGAGGAGCCCCCATCACCCTCTCCTCCTCTTTCCACCCCCAATGAACCCCACCTTGAATTGATTTGAGTTTTTCTCTTATGTGGCTATGTATTAGATCACTTACTGGCTTTATATTAGAATCGAGTACATTGCATTTTTGCTTCTCCATTCTTGTGATACTTTACTAAGAAGAATGTGTTCCACCTCCCTTCAGGCTAATACAAAAGATGTTAAGTTTCCATCTTTTTTTTAGTGGTATATGTATACCACAGCTTATTAATCCATTCCTGGGTTGGTGGGCATTTAGGTTGTTTGCACATTTTGGTGATTGTAAATTGAGCTGCGATGAACAGTCTAGTGCAAAGGTCCTTATGGTAAAATGAGTTTTTTTTCTTTGGGGTAGGTGCCTAGTAATGGGATTGCAGGATCAAATGGGAGGTCTAATTTGAGTTCTTTGAGGATTCTCCATACTTCTTTCCAAAAGGTTGTAGTAGTTTGAAGTCCCATTAAGGCAACAGTAATCAAAACAGCATGATATTGGCGCACAAATAGAGACACAGACATATAGACAGAATAGAAAACCAAGAGAGGAAACCAGCCTCTTATAGCCATCTGACCTTTGATAAACCAAAAAGCATACAAGGGTGGGGGGGATAATCCCTATTCAACAAATGGTATGGGGCTGGGAGAACTGGACAATCACATGTAAAAGACTAAAACTGGATCCACATCTTTTACCACTTGCAAAAAAATGACTCAAGATGGATAAAAGATTCAAATTTAAGACATGATACAATAAAAATCTTAGAAGAAAGTGTAGAAAAATCTCTTGATGATGTCAGACTGTAATTGAGCAACTTATTAAAAATTATTAACAAGTAATTCATTAGCAATCTTTTTAATTTTTTACACTATAGATACACCAACAAACTCGGTTTTCCAGTTCACAACAATCCAGACACAGCAAACCTTATGGCTGTATTCTGATATTGTGTACACAGCCCCCCCTCCCCACATGACTCCCTATTATTCAAAACCTAAAAGATTTAGGGCCATTCACCGAAATTTAACCTACTTCAGTAGCCACAACATAAAAACAAAAATAAATAGTACAGTCAAAGTTCCTGTATTTTTAAGAAAATATTTTCCCTTTCAATTTCATTATTTTGAAGGGGAGAGACGGGAGTGTGGCAAACTTTTTCAAGAATGTGCGTGTCATTCTTGTGCAGGGGCTAGGCTAATCTTCTCTGTATCGTCCTAATTTTAGTATAGGTGCTGCTGAAGTGAGCACTAGAATATGTTTTTAAAGATCTCATCAAAACTCATTAGACCAAAAAGATAGGGTGAGGCAATTTCAGAAGAAACCTGGAACAAGATAGCCGACAGGGGTGAAGCAGGTGCTGGGGACACAAATGCAGATCTGAGTTCGGTTGCCAATGTGCTCAGGCACAGGGGCAGACACCAAGTCCAGAGAGTACAGTAGAGGGCAACAGGTGCTAAACCAGGCTACCAGGACACATGAGAGGTAGCAGCATATTGTAACCGGCAGGTGAAGCAATGGGTGCTGTGCAGCTCCAAGTCAAATCAGGGGCAGGGAAGTGGGTCAGCAAGGAGCAGGGCTCTGCTGACCGGCTAATTCAGGGGTGGCTCACTTCCTTAGGCTCATACAGAACATAGAGGCCAGACAGGGTTCAATGACGTTCATCTCCTGAATCTATATATCTGTGTGTATATCCTTCACAGTGCCTAAGAGGACGGGATAAATGATAACTGCATGAGGGAATAAATGAACGAATTAAAATATTTTTAAGTCCCTTAAAGTGCTAACATGATTTTGGAGGCAAAAATTCATCAAATGTACACAGCCCTTTTATGAAACTAATTTATAGCTCTCAAATGAAAGATACAACTTAATTCTAGCTCAAGAATATGGGGAGGGGGTGGGGAAGGGGAGGGGAGAAGGGTGGCTGGGTGGTGGGAGGGTGACCGGAAAGATCACCTATATATCTGTCTAACAAGGGTACAAGTGAATTTTTCTAGAACTAGAATATGAATGTTTTGACACAATGACTAAGCAAATGACATGAAGTCTATGTTAACCAGCTTGATGAAAGTATTTCAGATTGTATATGAAAACACTACACTGTACCCCATGTTTGCATTAATGTATACAGCTATCATTTAATAAAAAAAGAAAAAACAAACAAACAAACAATGTAACTTAATCATGTGTACCCTCATATTAACCTAAAATAAAAAAAAATTATTGACATAAAAAAAAAATTCATCAAAATCAGGTACTAAAAATGTACTATCCCTAATCTGATCACAGCAATAATAAAGAAAACATAAATAGCAGAGTTAAAATTGCCATTGCCTGGTACAAAAATATTACACACCTAAGCAAGGATATTTATCTAAATATTATCTATTGAGACTGAAAAAATTATAAGTAATAAATTCTTTAATGTAAGTAATAGCAAAATATGTATACAAAACCTATACACAACCAGTTAATATGAGTGAAAGATGTAATGAGAAAAATCAGTTCATTTACAGTGTCCAAAATATTATAACATGTTAAGAGGTTAAACTTATGTCACATTCTGAAGCAAACTCTAACAGAGAAAAATTTTAAATATAATTTTTTCAGTAAAAGAAGCCTACTATACAGAACATGGTTCTTCGGCAATTACTTCATAGAGTAAATATGCCAACTTAAACTTCCTATTAGAATTTGATTATTTCAAATTTGGAAAAAATAATTTCTTAAGTTCCTCTGTGAGAATAAGTACCAAAAAATAGTTCTCAAATTTTTAAGTAATAAAGGCAATGAGAAAAGATCTTGAAAATAACAGAAAAGGCTTTTTCATGTGTTAAAATATTTTTACTACCTAAAATCAAAAATGTATTATTGAGATGAAAAGCAACCATTGGTATCCGCAATGAAATACGTAAGTTTTCCTAATAGACTTAGACTGTGTTCTAAGATTTTAATAGTCATGAAACATTACTCACTGGTGGAGAAAAAGATAAATTATCCAGTAAATGATGGTAGGGATTTTGGCTGCTAAGAAAAAAATGAAATCTTGAAATCAAGAAACCAAACCCTCACCAGAAAACAAAATAGATTACAGATAGAATGAATCTTATATGTCTCCAGGCCTTGTTTCTCTTAAAGTCCATGAATAATCTCACTCTTAGTATAATAGCTCACTCAAGTTTTAATGCTCAATAGATCCTCAGTGTTAGACATTTACAGATTCTCCACAATTTACAATAATTGAAGTTTAGATCATTAAGCTACTTATTTCAACATAATCAATAAAAGCAGCCTATACTATAACGTTATAATTAGGAAGACCTGTTATAATCTAATGAAATGGAGACCAGGCCTGAAAAATCCCGGAGCAGACAAAGGCAGTTAGGCCTTAAAATAACCTCAACCTTGTTCCACTTGGGAATATCAGCAGAACTTGACTTGAGCCATTTCTTGTAAATGCCAGTGTCAGAAGAAATAAAAAAGTAAGCTCAACAAATCAAAAGTCATCCACTTAAAATTCGGTAACTGGGGACTTTCCAGTAGAAGAGACCAAATGAGGCATCTCTATAACCGTAACCAATCAAACAGTCTCTGTGTTGTTGTCACGTCCATTCTATAAAAGCTTTCTGCCCCAGTTTCTTCAACAGCTCATTAAAGGTGTTAAAGTTTGCCGCTTCCTCATTTGTGAAGCACTGACTGCTCACATGAACTTTTTAAAATTTTTGTGTCAGTTAATCTTTTAACAAAACGTATTCACATAACTGAATTTCCCAGATAACTGAAGCTTGTAATCTGGAGCAGGCTACCTTGTTTCCTGCTCCCACAAACCTCATCTCTACGTAGGAGAAGCAATTCAGTCTGGCCAGACAGCTCAGCCTCAGTCCAGTCTCTGTGAAGCAAATAATTAGTCTATACCCAGAGAAGTTAGGTATATGCCTTCAATATTTTACAGAAAAAGGAATCACAATTTGAGAGAGGATTATGCACATTTAACGAAGAATTTTTTATAAAAGAAACAATGTACAAGGAGAGGTGATTTACACTAGCATTTCTTTTCTGTATATTTATTTTCACTTTAAATGTACAATATAAAAATCATGGACTGATATTAGCTTTCGTGGCGATATTGTGGGAAAAAGTTAATATATCTAAACAACTTTAATGGAAAACTGGTCTATAGTAAGTATTCAATATATATTGGTGTTGCCATTATCCTTACCATCATGTGAGAATTTTGATTTTACAATAACTGAATTATGGTTTTATTTCTTCTTGGAATCATATTCTAGGATCTATGTTTTAAAATACAACTTCAATGAAGAAAAGGATTTGTATTTCCTAAGTGACCAATGCTATTTATAACTGAAATGATACTGATGTTTCCTAACGTGAAATAAGTGAATCACGTATTTTAGGGGGAAATTTATGGTCCCTGAAAGCCAAGATTTAGTTTAGGTTGAAGTAAAACAAAAAAAATTCATATCGGAATTTAACTAATCTTACTTTCCCTTAACATATTAGAATTTAAGATTGACTTTAATGTTTTGTTATTAATTTTTAATTAAAATCATAACTATGATTTAATTAATTTTAATTAAAATCATAACTATTTAATTAATTTTAATTAAAATCATAACTATAACTAATTAAAATCATAACTATTTATGGCATACAATGCAATGATTTGATACACGACACGGAATGCTTCAATCCAATTGATTAACTTTGCCATCACCTTACTTACTTGTTTTTTGTGGTGAGATGGATTTTTAATCAGTTGTTAGCTTTTCTTTTATCTAACTTCAGTGTATCCGTCAATAATCAACATGCAGTAAGTGTTGGATACTGTGCTGGGCCAGAGATTCCCAAACTTAGCTGCACTTTATAATCATTTTCCATGTTTTTCGGGTACTTCCAACGTGCAAGCCAAGTTTGCAAACCACTTTAATCCCGTCAACAGCCCTGTTAGCGTTGACAGAAATATCTGGTTCAGTTGGGCTGCAGTGGATGTTGAGAATCTAAATATTAATAAGCTCCCAGTGAATCCCGGGAAGTCACTGAATCCCAGGATCACTGCTTAATAAATCTTGAGGCCTGATTATTTCAATGGTACCTTTTTTAATGTGACCATTGTAAAGGCCTCTTATAAATGGGATACCTACTACTCATATATCACACTGAAAATATCTTTTTTAGTCGAGGCTACACCAGATGAAGTGTTTTACAAATTGAGCTTTTACAAGGTAAGTTAAAATATTTTTATCACTATAAATCCAAGACTTTGTGCAGATGTTGAAGGATACAAAAAGAGAGCGTAAGAATTGGTTTCCTTTGCTGGGTTCCAGGCTCTTGTGACTACTGTCAGG